AGCTCTCTGCCTGCCATAGCCTGCAGCTCCCACCATTGTATTAATTTCAGATACTTTGGCTCCTCACTAACCAGGGACAATAAGAGTGGCTTTCTGGGGTCTTCATTAGGACTTCTCTGACTACAGCCATGAATGGACCCTCCCTCAGACATGGCTCTCCAGCCTGAGGAAGAGGGAAATTCCTAGAGGCACCAGATGTAGCATCAGAGTGGACCCTTAGCAGGCAGACAATGGTGACTCAGATGAGAGGAGCTACAGGAGCCTGGATTGGAGGGTGGGAATGATGAAAAGAGGGTGTCTGCCCTACCGGTGGGTTTTCAGCATGGACATGCAAGGTCAGCCTGTTCAAAGGAAAGGTCTGACTTCCTGACAGAAAGATGGACATGTTCAACTGAGCTGAAGGTAGGAACTCAGGAAGAAGGAAGCTGCCAGACCCTAGTACTCAAGAGGTGCTCCAGACTGTACCACAGATCCTGGTCTAAAAAGAGATACTAAGATGAGTTCCCCAGAACCCAGACTGTCCACTTTTCTACATTCAGCTCTTTAGCCTGGGGCAGCCGCTTCCAAAATGGGCTTCTAGGACCTGGTGCTGCTTCACCTATAGGCAATTCCATCACTGAGTGAGTTTGGAAAACTCTGGTCATGGTACTACTGTGTGTGTGGGGTAATCCTTGTTAGCAGACCTACATCTCCAAGAAGACCCATGTTCTATTGTTTAACCCAGGGCTGATGAAACGGTGTGACTTTAAACCATACTAGCTCATATACCGAGAAGAGTCTGGGGAATACTGGGTGGGCTTCCTGCCCCACACCTGGGGTGCTCTCCTCTGGGACCTGACACTGGCAGAAGGCTGGAGTGATGGCAGACTACCAACCATGCAAATCACATGACTTTGGGACTTGCCAAAGGCTGGATGGGGAGCCTGTTCTTGGGGCTTAGTTCCTTTTCCTGTCTCCAATGGGGGAAAAGCAATTTGAGGAAGGAAGGGCTTATTTTGGCTCACAGTCTCAGGTTAGACACAGGGACAGCATGGTGGCAGGAGCTTGAGGGAGCTGCCATATCATGTCCACAGTCAGGAAGTAGGCTGGAATGCAAATGCTCAGCTCTCTCCCCTCCTGTTAGTCAGCCCAGGACTCCACCCCAAAGAGTGCTGCTGCTCACAATTAAGATGAACCTTCCTGCATCAATTAGCATAACCTAGGTAACCCCTCACAGGTGTGCCCAAAGGCGAGCACAGTCTAGATTCTATCAAGTTGACAGTATTAACCATCCCAGGGTTCCACAGTGGGAAGACTCCATACTGCTCCTCCTTCAAGGTGAGCCTACGAGAGAACTCACCCTACCCCATGGAAAGTGGCATTCCCAAGGATTAAGAATGTCCAGAGAGGCACTGGAAGATCTGGCTTACAACCAGCAAAAAGAAACTACCCTGGGCTTGCAGTGGCACCAGCTTGGGATACTTGGCACAGAGCACTGTGCCTCCTCCCTTCCCCTTCCTCTACCTGCAACCCCTGTAGCCAGACACACTGTGGGGATGTGAAGAAGCACTGAGTTGCTTCCCTTCTTCCTTATTCATTGTGGTGCCAGGATTTGCAAGCCCACTGGCCTCTCTCTGCTAGAGGGCTGGAAGCAAGGCTGCAGACAAAGCACACTATGTGAACAGAACAAATAACTAGGTGGCAGAGTTACAAAACCATGGTGTGTTTTATTAGCTAACAAGATGCATCTACGTTTAGTAAAGAAAGAACCAAAGTGCAAGGAGGCCTAGGGACTGCCTTCTGAAGGGGTGCAGAGGGCCTGGGTGCCCACTCACAGGCCACAGCTGTGCCCTGTATTGACATCCCCAGAGCCTTGCCCTCCCTCCCTGTCTCAGCTCTTCCCTGAACCTCCTAGTCATGCCCAAGTATAGTCAAGAAGCCCCAGGGTTGCCCTTATCAACCTGCAGCCCTACCTGGGAAGGAGAGCTGTCACTGTCTCAAAGGTGGACAGGTGACCCCACGCCAGACAAGGGCAGGAAGAATTTCTGAGCTTAATTGGCAATTATTCAAAGGATAAAGACATTTTACCATAATAGATTTTTTTCTAGCATTAAAAAAATGTCCATGGCCCAGCACCCAACCCTGGGAGTCAGGATTCTCAGAACCACCCATGAAGTGAAGGGGGGCGGGGTTTGCTGTCACTAATCTAATGCTCTCTGGGCATCAACCTGTAGTGGTAGCTGAGCATCTTTCTTGAGAATGGCTGAAGATCAGAGAAACAAAACAGCAAGCCATCAGAGAAACCCTTGACCTCTTCCAATGCTCAGACGGAAGGGGCGATCCTCAGACTGCCTAGACTGCACCTTCTCCACAAAACCTCAGGTTCCGATGAGCTGTCTCCTCCTCCTTGTATACCCCTCTCTGTCCAGCCACAGCACTCCTAACTCCACCTCCCTAGTGCTGGGATTAAAGGGCTGGGACCACCTTTGTGTGAGTTCTATTTCTCTTTTTAGGCAGATTCAATCTCTCCTGTACCCCATGGTGGCTGTGAGTCCTGAGATTAAAGGTGTGTGCCTCCCCACCCCCTGGCCCCTATTGGTTTAGTTCTGCAATCTTATCTTCAGGCAAGCTTTAAATACAGGAGTGATGAGCCTGGGTGGAGAGGAGTATCTTAGGAGGAGGAGACAGCTTGTTGAAGTCTGAGATGTGGTGGAGAAAGCGTAGTTTAGGTAGCCTGAGGATCGCCCCTTCACTCTGAGAACTGATAGAGGTAAAAGGTCTCTCTAGTGACTTACTGCTTTGCTTCTCTGATCTTCAGGCAAGTTTGATTTATTAAAATGCAATCAAATTATCACTACAAATAGGGATGCAGGCAAAATAGTTAGGACCCAGGCTCTGCTCCAAGGATCTCCAGTTCCATAGGCGATCAAAAGACATTCAAGGACTGGGTTGTGGCGCGTGGATGGGGAACTTGGGTCTAAAAAACCACTGTTTTTCTGATGGGAAAGTTGGAAAGAAACCCGGAGACAGTTGGTTCCAGATGGAGTAATGCTGTGGTCTTTGACAGGAGGCCCTTTCCTTCACCTATGGAGCAAGGGGTTTGGGGGATAATTTCAAGCCGAAGTTCCATTTTTCCGAAGGACTGCATGTAACTGGAGCCTCATAAATCGAATACAAGTGTCTCTGCGCAAAGCCTGGAATCCTGTCCTTGGAGCTCAGTCCATCCCATCCCCGCCCCCTCCCACTCGCCTTTGGGGATAGCTTGGACTTCACTGCAGTCTAGTTGACTCTAAAGTGGGCATATCTGTGGATCGGAGTCCAGTGCCCCCTGGTGGTACCGAGACACACAAACCTTTTTGGACCTCTTGGGTGTCACTGCTGCCAGAGCTGCGGGAGGCCTGATTGGGGTTCCGTCGTGGGCTGAGCCACGGCTCAATTAATTACCAGTTGCTGGGAATCCTTGTCGCTCGCTTGTGGTGACTCACCCCGCAGCCAGACTCACTTGCCAAGCACGGTGGTGGTGGTGTGGGAAGGGGGTGAGGGCTTGGATTCTAAAATGGATTTGGGGGAGTGCACCTGCTCCGGTGGGGCTTCCCATTCGCGTACCTGAAGACCCCATGGAGACATGACTGTCCAGACATAGTGCAGAGCGCCAACGCCCCTGTCCTGTGGTGCACCCACAAGCCTTTGAATTTGGGTGAAAAAGCTTTTTACCTAAGGCCTACAGGAAGCTCCAAACCCACCAGGCTGAGTATGGGTAGACAGAGGCAGACTATGATCCGGGAGGCTGAAGAACACGGGGCTTCTTCGAACTCAACAGCTGGGTCTGATTCACAGGCTGCTTTTATTCCTGTGGTCAGTTTCTAGCTCTGGCCTCTTAGCTATTGCCTGGGCGAGGGGGGGGGGGGGTGTCGCCAGATTCCCCTATCTGCATCTCTTCCTTGTCTAGAGACGGAGAAGATAGCCTAGCCAAGGAAAGCAAATCCGGGGGTCTCAAGACCTTGGTTTTACATCTAGGGGTGTTTTGTGTGAGGAAAACCTCTCAGCGACCTGAAGAGAGGTGGATGGGTGGGAGATCCCGAAGGCCTAGACAGAGAGATACGGGCTTATTCGCTGTAAAAGACTAGGTGCTCTTTGGCAAGATCTTCCTGTCCCATCCCCAAGCCTGAACTTAACAGGCTGAACTTCGCCGCGGTTTGCTGGAGGGACGCTCTCTGAGCTCCTCTCCTCTGCCATGGAAACAAGAAAAAATTAGAGAAGAAACAGGGAGCATACTGGGGGAGAGAGGGAATGCGAATTCTTCCTGTCCTTCCTTTCTTGAGGTGTGTGTGCCTCTAAGAGTGGCGGTCTGCGCTATTCGCCAGAGCTCTAGGGGTAAGTAGCTGGGTTCGGCAGGTGCAGGACCACTGGAGACACATCTGGCATCCCACCATGGGGACTGAGGAGGCTGTTAAAACCCCAACACACTAGGAGGCAGTGCCCCAGCCAGTAGGGTGCTGCTGTGCCAGGTGGCTGCTGCAGCTGGAAGTCTGTGTGTGTGTTCCTGTGTGTGTGTTAAGGGGGGGGGGGACGGCGAGGCCACTGTTGCTGCACTCCCAAGTGCTCATAGCCCCTCCCCCTTCTATTCACCACACTCCGGGTTTCTTAAGGCTCTAATCTGCCTCCACTGGCCGAATTCGTTTCTCGTCCTCAGCTGCGGGTTTCTCAAACTCTCCACTTTTCCAAGGCTGTGTGCGCTCTTAGGGGAGCAGGATAGAAGAAACCCAGGCATTCGTGTTTATCCACCCACATCCCAGTCGAAACTGACTAGCGGCTGGGCTCCTACACCCGTACCCTGTGGCAGCACCCAGTTTTACCCCTCTCCCTCCCCCTCTAGCCACCTAGCGAGCACCCTGCTCAGCACTAGGTCTGCTGCAGAAGCTGCCAGCGCTGCCTCACCAGCTGGCTAGGGACCAGGCGGGAGGTGGCGCGCCCCGGAGGCTGCAGGAGGGAGGAAGGAAGAGAAGGGAAAGAAGAGAGGAGAAGAGAGGAGGGAGGGAAGCCGGTCCTCGGAGTAGCCTCCCCCCCCCCCAACCCCATCCCTCCCGCCAGAGCGGGGCAGTCAAACGCAAACACGCGCGCACGCACACTCGCGAATACATACACTCGGGCTCCCTCCGGCGCGCACGCACAGCGCCTCAGGCAGACCAGAGCGGAGGCTGCCTCTCCTGACTCCTGGACGCCAGAGTCTTGGGATCCTCCGTGGCTGATGAGCCTTTGCCTGCCCCTATTCCTACCCTTCAGTTCCTCCAGGCCCGCGGGACCACTCCCGCCGCCGCCACCTCGCCCGCCACCCTGGAAGGAGCTGGCTGGCCGACCATCGCTGCGCAGTTCCCTCGTCGCCCTCAGGTAGCTCCGTTGTAGCTCCTGTCTTGGTCTTCGCCCTGTTCCTGAGCTTCGGAGGCTGAGTGAAACAAACTTCGCAGACCGGCTGACGCCCGACGGGGCCCGCATGCCCCGCACTCCCAGGTGGGCACAGGACATTAGGACTTTGGGGCATTGGGCTGCCTTGCCCATTGCACCTGCTAGATAGACGCTCTCCCTGCTTGCAGGGGATTCTAGAGACATCTTCACTTAGCAAACTTTTGTTTCCTCACCCAAAGGGGTGAGGAAAGCTAGAGGGAGAAGTTGGTCTCCTCCCGGCAACCGCCATCCTGGAGGCGATTAGCTGGGCCCCGCTAACCGCGGAACGCATCCAGAGAGATGCCGAACCTCTCCCCGGGTCGCCTTCTGTACCGACTCCTGATCCTGCCCCAGTCCGGTCCGCGGTCTCGAGAGGCCAGGTGCCGAGGACCACGCAGCCCGCGCGAAATGAGCATGGGCCATCCATACGCATGACCATCCGCACTGGGGCAAGTCGCTTGACCCAGGCCTGGCGTAGGGTGTCCCGCGTCCAGGATCGCTGGCCTCCGCACCCTAGTGATGCTATGAGCATGCCTACCCTCTTGCCTATCCCAGTGGTGGTCACCACGCCCGCGGACCCCATTGAATTCGTGGAATCGGCTGCACTGGGTGAGCCCGCTACGCCTGCAGAGTCCATTGTGCCCGCGGAACCCACTACGCCTGCAGAATCGGTTGTGCCCATGGAACCCGCTACACCCGCAGAGCCGGTTGGGCACGCGGAACCCGCTGCGCCCGCGGAACTTGCTGCTCCCACAGAGTCCACCGAGCCTGCCGAACCCGGGGCATCCGCTGAGCCCGCGGAACCTGCAAAATACAGGGAGTCCACTGTGACCATCGAGACGGAGGAGCCCCAGGCACGCGGGAACGCTCCTCAGCTTGAAGGTGTTGAAGTTCGGAACAGTGAGGACCCCCAAGATGATTCTATCATTTCCAGCATCAGCTGCGGCATCTGCTGTTACCACCGCTTACAACTTAGACTCCATCGCAGAGGAGGCTTCGTCCGTGCGGCGCTGCATTGGGAAGCGCGCCCTGGTTTGGCTCATTTTCCTTTTGGCGGCTCCTTTTTTGCAGCCATGAAGCGGCAGAACGTGCGTACCCTGTCCCTGATCGCCTGTACCTTCACCTACCTGCTGGTGGGTGCTGCTGTGTTCGACGCCCTTGAGTCCGACCATGAGATGCGCGAGGAGGAGAAACTTAAGGCGGAAGAGGTCCGCATCAGAGGCAAGTACAACATCAGCTCCGATGACTACCAGCAGCTGGAGCTGGTGATTCTGCAGTCTGAACCCCACCGTGCTGGTGTCCAGTGGAAATTCGCGGGTTCCTTCTACTTTGCCATCACCGTCATCACAACTATAGGTAAAGAAGGGTTATAGAGCTACCAGGCTCCGGAGGGAGGAGTCCCAGGGAAATAGTGTGCAAGGCTGGGTAGGGGGTTCCCAGGTTCAAGACAGCCCCATGTTTCTGTGTCTCACCCCTCAGGGAATGATCTCAATTCCTCCAGGGGATCCTATCTGGTGCTCCATACTGCTCTGGTGGGCCAGGCTTGTGAACTTCCAGAGACAGAATGCTGTTGTCTTGAGGGTGGAGGTGCCACTTTTTTTTTTTTAAAGAGTGGAGCGCTAAGAATAATCTCACAGCGGACACCCACCCACCTGTGAGGGCTGTGCTTCCCTGAGTGGGTTCTAAGCCTTACACTTACTACCTCTTGGGGAATGTGGGACAAAGCTGGCTGGGTGACAGAGGGCTGTTTATGGGTCTATGGGTGATGGTGGTACTGACCCTTCCTCAGATAGGGGCCATTTGGGAGCCAAGATTTCAGCACCCATTATTTTTCCTTTGAGTTGTAGAGTGTGTTAGGTCCCAGGAGAAGAGTTTTCTCTTCGTTGGTTGGGATGGGGTTGGTAGCAGGTGACCTGTGATGTGGTCCTGATGGGTTGAATAGGCAGTGCTTGCTTGTACTGTGGACTAAGAGTGAGGACCAAAGGAGTCTGGATGTTGCTTGAAAACTAGGGGTGTTTAACTCACTGTGGGAAAGAGTCTGTCTGGTACAGATGGGGTTGCCTATAGATTCTCAGACTCTGGCCACTGTCCACAGAGTAGTCTCTGGTGGGTCCCAATGACTGTACCCCAACTGAGGTTGGGGTTGGGGAACACCTCTAGCCTTGCACATGGAGACCTGTGGGAATATGAGTGTCATACGTCACCCCAGGGGATGTGGTAGATACTCTTCAGGCAGGAGGCAAAATAGTGCCTCTGGCTGGCCAATTGCCCTGTCATGGCACAATGCCTAGGGCATCTCCTTGGACCTGTGAGAGCCAGAATGTTGTCTCAGAGGTGGTCTCTTGCCCCTGATGAGAGCCATCTTCCTTTCCTGGACCACCCACTAATTTCCCTATGATACTTTTCTTTTCCTGAAAAGCCCTGCATTGCTGGAGGGGGGGGGGCGGGGAAAGGACACAAGACTTCAGGGTGCTAAATGCAACAGGAAACACCAGCCCAGGACAACCTGTCTTTCGTTCTTGTTTGAAAGGACTTTTAAAGAGTTGCCTTTTAAAAATATGTGCTAAATCAGTGCCAGTTTTTATGTTTGGGGGAAGAAAGTCACCCTTCAGTTGTCTATATGACAGGCTTTGCCCCTGCTGGCTCCTAAGCGCCCTCCCCCCACAGGTTAGAGAAGAGACCAGCAGGTGACTGTCTTTGAACTGTGGTGGTGATATGCAGATGTGCAAGTCATTGGTTCTGGTGGCAGGTGTATTTGCTGGAAGGCAAGACTGTGCTTGTGACACGGACAGAGGGGAGACACCTCATAGTCTTCTAAAAGTGCCATTTGTCATCTAGCTCTGAAAAGGGGGGGGGTTGTTTTTCAGGCTGGTTCCCTGTAGTAAAATCAGCCCAGAAAACTTAACCAGTCCCAAGATGCGGGTGGCTGGGGTTAAAGACAAATACAGTTATGTTGCAGCATTCCTTAAAAAAATATTTGAGGTTGAGGAGGCTCTCGCTGAGGTATGTTGCCTTTATTGATTTTATTGGCAGTTCTGGACATAAGCTTCGAATATTTGAAACTTCCAAGGAAATAGTGTCAAGGGAAGAGGAGCTAAAAGCAACTGTTGTCTTAGCCCCTTGGATAGGGGCTCTCATTAGTACAGGATCTGGGCCACTTGAGAAAGAGCTAAGATGATTTTTCTCATTTCCTTTATTGGATTTTCTACTGACTTGGGGAAAAGATTGCAAACACACACGCACATGAATATGCTCTCATGTGCACACACATGCAGATATCTACATAAATCCACACTCTCATGCATGTTCACATGCATATATGCATATACTTAGATACATGCACATGCATATATCCACACTCATGCATATTTATATACATGTACAATACACTTATATGCACAGACATATGTGAACACAATACTCTTACATACATGTATACATACGCATGCACACGTGTATACATGCAGACACATGTATGCAGGCAGATACACATCCAGACATACACATTCAATTGCACACACATCCACATGGATACATACTTGCTTGCACTCATACACACCTGCCTATATGCACACACATACACATGTATATGCATACACACACAAACACAGTTAAAGCAGCTGTGCTTGAGTGGAATCTGGAGCCTGCCATACAGGAAGACCACAGTGATGCCATTTTCTGACCTCCAGCCTCAGTTTCCCCACCTGTAGAACTTGTATTTATTAACCATTGGCTAGTGGCCTTTTATCATCAGCTGTGGGAATGTAGGTTCCCCACCCCAGCTCTGCTCATTGTAGTGCTTAGGACTTTTGCTTTTGACTGACTGAGCCCCTTGCTGTCTGCTTGAGTGCTGTTCCACAAAAACACCCACATCTGTAGGAAACAAAGCACCTTTGCACTTACTTTTGTTTTCTTTCCTTTTTTAACTACACATACAAATGAAAGTGCTTTTAGGCCCAGGATAAAAGCCAGCCCCAAGCCATGCCCTCAAAGGAATGTGTCTTCTATTGGGCAATGATACCAGCAAAAGTGAGCTTCGTTTTCATAGCTAATTCCTTTTTCACCTAAGTTTGGGTGATCGTGTGTGTGTGTGTGAACTTTGCACCCAAGTCTCTGTGGTTGTGCCAAGAGTCCTGGAGCTGTCTGATGAATGTGGCTTCTTAGATGCAGTTATTAGCTTACTCTGTAAAATGGATTTTCAAAACATATACAGTTACTTCTTCATTTTGAATCTGTGACTATGCTTTCCTGAAAGTCTTTGGAGGCTATTCCACAGACTCTGGCCCTAGCTTTCTGGGGAGTCTTGTGAATACCAACTGCCCTCGTAACCAGGTCCAGTTCTGGTGCCCATTCTTTCCTGTGGCTGTCAGGTGGCGGCCACTTGTAGCTCTCCTTAAAGGGGCTTTACTGTTTGGTTTTCAACTTGGGCAAGACTCCCTTGCCTGTAGCCCACTGACCCAATTGGCTGTACAATTGAAACATCCCCTTCCAAGACCTGTTATGCAAGTGGGAGAAGTAGGTGGTACCGAGGGGCGGGTCTGCATCGGCATAGGAGTTTTATTAGAATTACCTCTGCTTGGGGCTGAGGTCTTGGAGCTTGTATAATATATCACTGGTATAAACTTATCACCTCCCACAGTGGGAGGTTCAAGCTAAAACTGTCCCACAGTCAGCCTCTTTGCACAATCATGTGCCAGAGATGGGATTTCCATCACACTTTGTTTTTCCAATCTAACACCTGTAGTCTAGGTTGGCTACCTTCAGGACCATTAGAAAGGAAGCCACCAGATGCCCTCTGTAGAACTATGGAGGACAACTTAAAGACTGGGTTTGCCATGGGGAAAGAAGGGTTGGCTTGTGGTTTCTCTTCTCTAGCTACAGTTTTGGGGGACAGGGAGGAAGTTCACACTTCCTGACTCTCTGGGCCCATCTGAAGCTGAGGTTGCTGCTGTAGGAATGGAAGTGACTGGTTTAGGACTGGGGTCTTCAGGTGATGGTGGGGCCCACTGAGAGAATCCCTAGGGGTCCTGCCCTGCTCTAGACAGACATTGAACTCCTTCCTTAATGAGGTAAAAGCAGATCATTAAACTAACTTTTCCCAAAGCGGACAGCATTCATCATGAGTTTATCATGGGTTTTGGGTGTGGTTTGTGATCCACAGTCTTGTCCAGCACCTTCCCTGCCTTGCTTGTGTCACCTTCAATACTCTGGGGACAGTCTAGATGACAAGATAAGGACTGGCCTTGGCAGAAGGGGCTGGAAATCCAGATAGTTGGTTGTAGTCTAGTGTGAAGCACAGGTACAAGTAAACTCAGTGAGACCCTTTACCTGTCCTATGCCATCCACCAGGCTGAGCATCCTTACCCAACCTAGAAACCACCTTCCTCCCAGAGTCCTCCAAGCCCCACCCTTGCCCTTCTCTCCTCCTGTCAGTTTCAGCTTTGTGGATTCTGCTCATTCTACCTCGGATCCACACTACCTTTGTTCCCTGACTTGCAGTGTCCAGTACAGTGCATCCCATGGAGCAGGCAACTCACAAAGGTCTGAAAAGCTGAAGCAGGACCAATGGGTCAGACAGGCTGGTGCCTGAGAAATCATGGCACTTACACACACACTCCCTCTTCTTCTCCCCTCTCTCTCTTTTCACCCATGAGCTTGTGGGAACACCATCCTGCTTGACAGATTAGGAAACTGAGGCAGATAAGGCAATGCACACCAAGGTAGAGTGCATGGAAGACCATATGCAAATTGGGTCTCCTTACTGCAGGTTCTAGCTGGAAGTTATCCAGTTCATGGTGGGCCTGTGTGCCCGGCTTTTCATTTGGGGAACCTGCCCAGCCAGATCCGGGTGATGGGTAGCCATGGGGGCAAGACGGTTCTGGGCTCTTTATATGCAGGCTGATAGCTACCATGCTGAGAACACAGGAAGTGCCTGTAGACAGCTCTGCCTTCCTAGGTCCTCCCTAGTCCTGGCCGTGGTCTCTCCTCATTCAACTCAAGGATCTTTAGCAAGCTTCCTGCCTACAGTTGCCATGGGGAAAGCAGGGTAGCAGGGGTGTTGGTTTGGAGTAGCAACCCAGACACTTCTCCCTAGACACTCAGGGCTCTGAAAAGAGGAAGAGATGAGAGACAAGGACTTCTAGGCACTGGTTACATTCACTTGCTCTGTCCTGGCTTCCCTTACCCAGGAAGCCCAGAGAGGGCAGAGTAGGAGTGGGAGGTGGATCAGGTCAGGGCGGGTGTCCTAGTAGTGGGTTTCCACGTACTTACCACGGGCCCCTCTATCCACCCATGCCGATGCACTTGTATACTCATTTACACTGCAACCACACAGCCACTTAAACATTCTACCACCC